TTTTTTGGCTTCTTATGACTTGGTTTGTGAGTCATAGCTGCCGTAGTTTCTCTTGCTGACTGCCTTTGTTTTGGTAACGCTTTTATTGTCTTTATAAAATTGCCTGGGGATTACCTTTCCCCTTTCAGTATACCAAAAGGGCACCAACAACCTTACAAATTAATATTGGAATACTAAATCTTTGGTTGAGTGTAGTTTGTTATTTAGTTTGATTTTGTTAGTTCTTGTTTATTCATTGCTTAAGAACATGTTTGTATACTTCATTCAGAAGGGTTTCAATATCACTGATGGAAAGTTCCTTTGAGAATCTACGGGTCAACTTTTTATGGGTAAATCTTTCACCAACGATGGTCGAAGGATATCTCTTACGAATTGTTGAAGGACGCTTTCACCGATGGATTACCAACAACTCAATGTCACCGAAGGATTTGCGATAAACATTTTCCAGTGACGGATTGCCAAAAGGACACATTACTGACATATATTTCTAAGGGTCAATATTAATACTAAGACGCCTGGAATGCCTAATTAAGTGTGGTAATAGAATAGCTTATAGAACTTAAGGTTAAAGGTCCAACCTATAAAATTTTATATCTAAAAGTGTTACAATAGTTTTATATGACACTTTTGGATGTTTTAACAAAAATAAATTACGACGTTTTTAAAATAATAAATGTCATACTAAGGACATTTTTGAGAAATGTCCTATAAACCCATCTAAATATAGGACATGACATTTTTTCAAATAGTGTCGTTTAAAATAGTTAATACGACAATATATAATTTAAAAGGTTCTAAAAAACTTGTTGAAACACCTAAAAACATCATATAAACCCTATTGTAACACTTTTAGAAGGATGTGTTTTGGTTTGTTCTATAAACTTATGAAGTATTTTATTAGGTAGGACGCCTAGGCCATTTAATTTCAGAAGTCCTAAAAAGTCAATTTTGTGGTAGTGGGTGGTTTTCACCCGTGGATTGTTGATAGCCTATTAACTATTGTCGAAGGCATAGTATCTATCTATTAGTGATTTGTGGATATGCCTAATGTGTACATAATAAAATATGCTGAATATATAAAATCAATTCATATTCTATCTGAACAAGTAATTAGCTTGGAGGGGGAATGGCCTACTACATCTCCCAGTGCTCTTCACTATCCGTCTCCAACGTAACTCATTCGCACGTGTTGACTGCTCGGCCTCCTACCCTGCGTGCGCACGCTCTCTCCTGTATGTGTTGGTCTGCTTCTATTCTATCTTTTGCGGTTGTTCTCGTAATTCAAGTACTCACAGGTATCGAACATTTGGTACGCATGATCAGTAATCAATCATCCTCAGGTAATGAAAAGTAATTAATGATATTATTATAAAAGAAACAAACAACAACATACAATCTCCCAATGCTGTAATGGGCTTACTAGTCATAATATAAACGGACTCCTGAGTCGAGTCGAGTCGAGTCAGCCCAGGGTCAAGTAGGTATAATCTATACTATATTATTAAGTATGCTAAATGGTTATTGTTGAATTTTAAGAGGTACAATCTATTAATTATACAAGTTTTTGAAGCCTCACCCCTATCATCCCTTCCTTTCCAACTTCCCACCCCCAATTCTCTTCTCTCCACGTCCCATCCTAATTTTTGTCCCTCTCGATTTCAAGTGAAATCCATATGATCGAAAACTT